AAATATATATGGAAACCCTAGATGAGATCATGGAGGCCTAGCTTGTGTCTACATTCAACAAGTCTGTAGCATTGCCATGATTCTCTCTATTTGACAACAACATGACATAAACGTTGGCTAGATTCTCTACAATATTGACATGAATGTACCCAACTTGCACATCAACAGACCCAGGCGCACATCTACATTCGGTGCCCCAAGGGCAGACACAAAGGGCAGACAACAAAGGGCATATAACTGCGGGGCGCCACATGTGGACACCACAAGCTGACATCTAGAGGTGTCTGAACACCCAGGCTGACATCTAGAGGTGTCTGAACACCCAGGTGTCAAATTATCGACGGGTACAACAGACAGGTGAGACAACTCGCATCACGTGCTTGAGTTTTTTTTCTACGGATGTCGACCGGTTTTTCCTGACGCAACGGCAGGTGTCTCCCCCACAGTTGTGTCTCCCCTACAGTTGTGTCTCCCCTACAGTTGTGTCTGTGTCTCCCCTACAGTTGTGTCTCCCCTACAGTTATGTCTCCCCTACAGTTGTGTCTCCCCTACAGTTGTGTCTCCCCTACAGTTGTGTCTCCCCTACAGTTGTGTCTCTGTGTCTCCCCTACAGTTGTGTCTCTGTGTCTCCCCTACAGTTGTGTCTCCCCTACAGTTGTGTCTCCCCTACAGTTGTGTCTCTGTGTCTCCCCTACAGTTGTGTCTCTGTGTCTCCCCTACAGTTGTGTCTCTGTGTCTCCCCTACAGTTGTGTCTGTGTCTCCTCATACAGATGTGACCCACAACTGAAGTAACAAAACACCCCCACCCCACCCCCACAACAGCTTGAATCACGTGTCTGAAGCACCAGCATCCTACAGCTCCTTACGACACGCGACACTTGTGATAGCTCCACAATCCTGTCTCAATCACTCCTGACACAATCTTAACTGACACAATTTTTACTGACACAATCCTAACTAACGCAATACAAATTAAACACAATCCTAATTTAACGCAACTTACTTAGCACAAACTAGATTTTAAAATCCTGATTAAACGCAATCCTAACATACACAATCCTAACAAACACAATCCTAACAAACACAATCCTAACAACCACAATCCTAACAAACACAATCCTAACAAACACAATCCTAACAAACACAATCCTAACAAACACAATCCTAACAAACACAATCCTAACACACACAATCCTAACAAACACAATCCGTGTCCCTGGAATCAGCTCACCTTGTGCATCTTTCTCTCCCTCCCAACACAGGTTGGCATCAAAACAATTTTTACCTGGCTACCAGACTACCTAGATTTCAAGTCTAGCTACTGTGTCATAGTTGAGAAGGGGAGGCTACCCAAATCTCAACCGACTTGAGTTATTGGTAGGTTCTGTACCTCTCATTGATAGAAATTAAAGCGGGAGTGAGCTCCCATTAATGTTCTTGTATATTTTCATACAACAGTGTGGGGTTGGGACTTACATGGCAATCAGGCAATAGAAAAGGGAGGAAAGTTTTTGACAGCCGCTGTATCTAATGTAGAAAGTTCTTAAAATGTGATGCTTTAAGAGAATGTAATATAAAATAGTAAAATACTGAAGTTTTTAAGAAATCGGAAATACATTAATTCATTTTCGATATGTATTATTATTACGGTTACAATACACCCCCCCCCCCCCCCCCCATACTCAGTAAACGACAAAGAAGAAACGAAAAGTATAGTTATGTCCCCTTCATGGCATCAACAAGAAGAAAAGTTATATTGGGTTTTGTCCCCTACAGCAAATCTAAAATACATCAAACATCTGACCCATTCTGGTTGGGCTTTTCAGTAGCATGTTTGGGGGGAAGCATCAATATCCAACAGTTTGCTGCCATTATCTATTTAACTATTAGCTGCCATTATCCCAGCCCCAACAATTTCCCATTTGTGATTCATCTTAACCATCGCACACAGTTGGACAGACCTCCCACGATGGCTGGTGAGCAGAGGCGTAGCGGGGGGGGGGGGGGGCGGGGGGCAGACCGCACCGGGTTACACAATTTAAGGGGGTGACACAAAGGCAAAAAATAGCAAAATATAATTATTTATACAGAAAAATGATAATTTCACTTAATTAAATGATTAATTAGAGTGAATTAAATAGTCTTTTAAGAGCAAAGTGGATAAATCCCGACACGGATGGAGGGTGGGGGGGGGGTGTGACACCATGACGTAAACCTGCTAATGATAAAGAAAACATGCAACACCCAGCTGAAATTATAACCGAATATAGATACAAAATGTTAGTATTATCTGAGCACAGCTTAAAGCAATCACCGTGAGGTGACGCGGGGGGGGGGGGGGTTACATCAACTCAACGTTGCAATATATGTATGCCTGAGGAAAACGGTTTGGTTGAGAATCGTAATAACCTATATGTTATCTATACATCCAGAAGAAGAAAAAATATTTAAATACATATACACATACTTACAGGTGTTTAAGAGAATAGATTTATTTATTTATCGATATATATATATATATATATATATATATATATATATATATATATATATATATATATATATATATATATATACGGTGGGGAGGGGGTGCCGCACCGGGTGACACCCGACCGCGCTACGCCATTGCTGGTGAGTACTTGGACCGGTCACTAAAAGAGCCAGGTGAGGAAGTAAAGGTTTTGTTAGTAATTTTATCCCGAGTATTTTGTTAAGTAATAACTGAGTATATCTAGAAAGGCGTCTTAATAGCGGAGCCTTACCTTACCTCCACGCATGTCTACACGCAGCACGTAGTCCAGTCAGTAGAGAAGATAGTCACACAGGTTAGTCACACACGTTAGTTAGTCATACACGTTAGTTAGTCACACGGGTTAGTTAGTCACACAGGTTAGTTAGTCACACGGGTTAGTTAGTCACACAGATAAGTCAGTCATACACGTTAGTCCCACACTGCCAGTGTCTCCCCATATAATGTTGATGTAGAAACCAACATGATGCTGTGTTACCGACGAGAGCCTCAGTGGTACGGGAACCAACGGACACCTGTCCGTCCACGTGTTGAGTTAACCGTACGGTACACTAGACGATAAACACGATGATACTCCCGGCGCCACTTCACTTTGTAGTAGGCTATTATCTCACTCTAAAGACGTGCAACCGATGTAGCGGACTACACATATTATCTCACTCTAAAGACGTACAACCGATGTAGCGGACTACACATATTATCTCACTCTAAAGACGTACAACTGATGTAGCGAACCACACACATATTATCTCACTCTAAAGACGTGCAACCGATGTAGCGGACTACACATATTATCTCACTCTAAAGACGTACAACCGATGTAGCGGACCACACATATTATCTCACTCTAAAGACGTACAACCGATGTAGCGAACCACACACATATTATCTCACTCTAAAGACGTGCAACCGATGTAGCGGACTACACATATTATCTCACTCTAAACAACCGATGTAGCGGACTACACATATTATCTCACTCTAAACAACCGATGTAGCGGACTACACATATTATCTCACTCTAAACAACCGATGTAGCGGACCACACATATTATCTCACTCTAAAGACGTACAACCGATGTAGCGGACCACACAACAGCACAAAGCCAAGACTTGTGTCTGGTTGCCAGAACTAACTAAGCCGTAGGTGATTATAACTTTACTTGAAATCAAATCTTTAGCAGTGAGGAAATAAATTAACACAACATCCTGACATGAGGAAAATATTCAGATGGCTATAGTCACCACTGGGTTGTATGAACTGATTGGTGTGGTCACCACTGGGTTGTATGAACTGATTGGTGTGGTCACCACTGGGTTGTATGAACTGATTGGTGTGGTCACCACTGGCTTGTATGAACTGATTGGTGTGGTCACCACTGGGTTGTATGAACTGATTGGTGTGGTCACCAGTATGAACTGATTGGTGTGGTCACCACTGGGTTGTATGAACTGATTGGTGTGGTCACCACTGGGTTGTATGAACTGATTGGTGTGGTCACCACTGGGTTGTATGAACTGATTGGTGTGGTCACCACTGGGTGAACTGATTGGTGTGGTCACCACTGGTTGTATGAACTGATTGGTGTGGTCACCACTGGGTTGTATGAACTGATTGGTGTGGTCACCAGTATGAACTGATTGGTGTGGTCACCACTGGGTTGTATGAACTGATTGGTGTGGTCACCACTGGGTTGTATGAACTGATTGGTGTGGTCACCAGTATGAACTGATTGGTGTGGTCACCACTGGGTTGTATGAACTGATTTGTGTGGTTACCACTGGGTGAACTGATTGGTGTGGTCACCACTGGTTTGTATGAACTGATTGGTGTGGTCACCACTGGGTTGTATGAACTGATTGGTGTGGTCACCACTGGCTTGTATGAACTGATTGGTGTGGTCACCACTGGGTTGTATGTACTGATTGGTGTGGTCACCACTGGGTTGTATGAACTGATTGGTGTGGTCACAACTGGGGTGTATGAACTGATTGGTGTGGTCACCACTGGGTTGTATGAACTGATTGGTGTGGTCACCAGTATGAACTGATTGGTGTGGTCACCACTGGGTTGTATGAACTGATTGGTGTGGTCACCACTGGGTTGTATGAACTGATTGGTGTGGTCACCACTGGGTTGTATGAACTGATTGGTGTGGTCACCACTGGGTTGTATGAACTGATTGGTGTGGTCACCAGTATGAACTGATTGGTGTGGTCACCACTGGGTTGTATGAACTGATTGGTGTGGTCACCACTGGGTTGTATGAACTGATTGGTGTGGTCACCACTGGGTTGTATGAACTGATTGGTGTGGTCACCACTGGGTTGTATGAACTGATTGGTGTGGTCACCACTGGGTTGTATGAACTGATTGGTGTGGTCACCACTGAGGTGTATGAACTGACCGATCTGGTCAGTTTCAAAATCTCTTGTGGATAACTCTCTGATTGTAACAGCAACAAGAAATTTGTCTCAAATTAATTTAATAGAGCACTGTATCACAGACAATAATGTCCTTACAACAACAGGACAAGACTGCGACCAAATGTCTAAACATCTGGACATAAAGTAAAGCACAACCTTGCTAATGGAAACAGAACCAAATGGACACACCTTTCAACAACTCCACATTATACAGCATCTTATTCTCAACACAGGATACCTGACCACAGGATGCCAGTGACACACAAAGGACATGCCTGCAACACACACAGTATACCCTGCAACACACACAGTATAACCTGCAACACACACAGTATAACCTGCAACACACACAGTATAACCTGCGACATACAACTGATTCCCCTGCCAAACTAAATAGAGTCTGACGTAATGACCATTTTAATTTGAATTGGTCAATTTTGTCAATACCAGGCAGTGTATGGTCCAGTGATGGAGAACAGAATATTTGCATAATTTACATTCCAGAAATTGAAATCTTTAGAAAACATGAATAAATTAATAAAAGAAGTCTTGTAAACATAAATAAACACAAGTGTTTAAAAAACATGGAAAAATTAGATCCACAATATCACCTCCTATGTACATATATGTAGGAAAAAACTTGTAGAAATGCATGGTGTTCTTTCATGATCTCAAGTTTCTCCTACTATATGGTCCAGTAAAATTAATGAGAAAATACAACAGTTACATCATTATTGGATACATGACATTTCAAACAGACAAAAATTATATTATATAGAATACATGACATTTCAAACAGACAAAAATTACATTATACAATACCTGACTTTTTAAACAGACAAAAATTACTTTATAGAATACATGACATTTTAAATGGACTAAATTACACTATAGCAGTGACTCTTAACCTTTTTGGGGGTACAGAACCCAACCATGCTCATACAGCCAATCACTGAACCCTTGTTAATAGAAAAATAAAATATGATTGTTTTTAAGTTCAAGTTACAGGTTTATTTTTTTCTGGTGCACAAAACAGTGCATCAACATCACAGTGTTCAAAGAACAAAACCATTAAAGTATGTTTTTTTACATAAAAACATGAAAATAAATATTTACTGCAAATCAGTGTAATTTCTGGTGTTGTATTTCAGACACTATGTTATGTTTTTGTATTTTCCATCCCCATGCAAATTAAGGAAGTTATCTCTACTTTAACATTACAAATCTAGCAGTAAGGATGCTGAATCACATCAAGTTGTGAAACCTTATTGTACGTTTGTCTGACCATAGTGAGTATATCAAGGGGTTAAAATTTCAGAAAGAAATCACATGACGTTCCATCACGACTGTCACAAATAGAGGGCTGGGTCACAGAATAGAAATAAAAAGAGTGTGTCAGAGCATGTATATACTTGATCAACGGGAGCCAGTATAAGTGTGTCGACCTGACTTGTGATGTATGTTTGTTGTGTCGTCACTTTACTGTGCATGTTGTCTTGCACTGGTGCACTTTATTACCATGTTGAGCATTTGAACTGTAATTGTTGAAGGCAGCTCGGTCTATTGTATGCACACAAAAAATCTTATAGCTAATCTTGGGTCAGGAGTGTGTCTTGACCTCCACTAACCCCTGAAACTGACTCAAAGAACCCATGGGGGTTAGAAAACACTGGTTAAGAACCACTGCAATAGAGAATATTGACATTTTAAACCGACAAAAATTACATTATAGAATACTTGACATTTTCAACAGACAAAAACTACATTATAGAGTACATGACATTTTAAACACAAAAACTACATTATAGTATAGAATAAAATGACATTTTAAAAGGACAAAAATTACATTATAGAATATATAACATTTTAAACTGACAAAAACTACATTATAGAATAAAATGACATTTTAACCACAAAATTACTTTATAGAATTTGACATTTTAAACAGACAAAGACTACATTATACAGTACATGACATTTTAAACAGACAAAAATTACTTTATAGAATAAATAAAAAACTTTAAACAGACAGTAATTCCAGTGTCGGTGTTAACTCTACTTGTACAAAATATTGTGCAAATGCCCAACATAAATAGATGCCATAAAGCGTCACAGGGCTGGATAGATCATTATATGTTGTAGGTTAATTTATCTGGTACATGAGTCATTGCACATCCCATCATGTCAAACATGAGCAACAAGAAACTTCCCCCCCCCCCCCCCCTCCCACAGAGTGGACTAAGTTAAGTCCCCAGAAAAATGTCAACATTGGAGTCACACATTGCACAAGTGTAAACAACTGAGGTCAATCCCAACAAGATATGATAAAACTGTGAGCAGCAATTGTTACATAGCTTGTTCCATTCAATGTTTGTACAAATAAATTACTTGACAACATACATCAGGATTATCTAGCTCACACGTCTAAAAACATTAGCTGTGTGCTACTGTTACCAAATGTTTGCTACTTGCTTTTTTTAAAAATAAATGAAAACTAAATAACACTTGGGTATTGGAATGAATGCTAAACATTCAACAAAATAAAACATGATCACATATGTGATGGATGTTAGCCAGTTTATGCAGCAATGATCTGCTACATTATCTCTTGTAGCTGTAGCTACATCAGTGATGCTCCAAATCTTGTAGCTGTAGCTACATCAATGACGCTCCAACTCTTGTAGCTGTAGCTACATCAATGAAGCTCCAAATCTTGTAGCTGTAGCTACATCAATGACGCTCCAACTCTTGTAGATGAAGCTGTAGCCTCCTATTCTCCTGAGAAAGTCTGGCTATCTCTTCTCCTAAAGTGTCCAGATTTTCCTGACAATATCAAGCCAAGATCAGACCAAACATAAACACTTGAGTGTTAATCCCCCACAATAAACTAACCTTGAGTGTTAAACCCCCATGAGCACACTAGCCTTGTGTGTTAAACCCCCACAGTAAACTAACCCAGAGTGTTATATTTTTGAGCAGTGTGTCCTCTAAGACGGCCTAAACCCCCACAGTAAACTAACCTTGCATGTTAAACCTCTACAGTAAACTAACCTTGAGTGTTATATTTTTGAGCAGTGTGTCCTCTAAGACAGCCTAAACCCCCACAGTAAACTAACCTTGAGTGTTATATTTTTGAGCAGTGTGTCCTCTAAGACGGCCTGAAGCTTCCTGTTGATCTGCAGTGACAGGTCAAGGGTCATGGTCCCATCCTGCTGGTGGACTGAGTACACTGAGGCCATGATGCCACCTTTACGGGCCAGCAGGCTCTGGCAAAAACAGGATGAGTTAGGGTTAGCTTTAAGGACCAGTTAGGGTTAGGTTTAAGGATCAGTTAGGGTTAGCTTTAAGGACCAACTAGGTTTAAGGACCAGCTAGGTTTAAGGACCAACAAGGTTTAAGGACCAACTAGGTTTAAGGACCAACTAGGTTTAAGAACCAGGCTGGGTTTAAGGACCAGCTAGGTTTAAGGACCAACTAGGTTTAAGGACCAACTAGGTTTAAGAACCAGGCTGGGTTTAAGGACCAACTAGGTTTAAGGACCAGCTAGGTTTAAGGACCAACTAGGTTTAAGGACCAACTAGGTTTAAGGACCAGCTAGGTTTAAGGACCAACTAGGTTTAAGGACCAACTAGTGTTAGGTTTAAGGACCAGCTAGGTTTAAGGACCAACTAGGTTTAAGGACCAACTAGTGTTAGGTTTAAGGACCAGCTAGGTTTAAGGACCAACTAGGTTTAAGGACCAACTAGTGTTAGGTTTAAGGACCAGCTAGGTTTAAGGACCAACTAGGTTTAAGGACCAACTAGGTTTAAGGACCAGCAAGGTTTAAGGACCAGCTAGGTTTAAGGACCAGCTAGGTTTAAGGACCAACTAGTGTTAGGTTTAAGGACCAACTAGCTTTAAGGACCAACTAGGTTTAAGGACCAACTAGGTTTAAGGACCAGCAAGTTTTAAGGACCAGCTAGGTTTAAGGACCAGCTAGGTTTAAGGACCAACTAGTGTTAGGTTTAAGGACCAACTAGCTTTAAGGACCAACTAGGTTTAAAGACCAGCTAGGTTTAAGGACCAACTAGGGTTTGGTTTAAGGACCAACTAGGTTTAAGAACCAGGCTGGGTTTAAGGACCAGCTAGGTTTAAGGACCAGCTAGGTTTAAGGACCAACTAGGTTTAAGGACCAGCTAGATTTAAGGACCAACTAGGTTTAAGGACCAACTAGTGTTAGGTTTAAGGACCAACTAGGTTTAAGGACCAACTAGGTTTAAGGACCAGCTAGGTTTAAGGACCAACTGTTAGGTTTAAGGACCAGCTAGGTTTAAGGACCAACTAGGTTTAAGGACCAACTAGGTTTAAGGACCAGCTAGGTTTAAGGACCAACTAGGTTTAAGGACCAACTAGGTTTAAGGACCAGCTAGGTTTAAGGACCAACTAGGTTTAAGGGCCAACTAGGTTTAAGGACCACCTAGGTTTAAGGACCAGCTAGGTTTAAGGACCAACTAGGTTTAAGGACCAGCTAGGTTTAAGGACCAGGTAGGTTTAAGGACCAGCTAGGTTTAAGGACCAACTAGGTTTAAGGACCAGCTAAGTTTAAGGACCAACTAGGTTTAAGGACCAGCTAGGTTTAAGGACCAACTAGGTTTAAGGACCAACTAGGGTTAGGTTTAAGGACCAACTAGGGTTAGGTTTAAGGACCAACTAGGTTTAAGGACCAACTAGTGTTAGGTTTAAGGACCAGCTAGGTTTAAGGACCAACTAGGTTTAAGGACCAACTAGGGTTAGGTTTAAGGACCAACTAGGGTTAGGTTTAAGGACCAGGTAGGTTTAAGGACCAACTAGGTTTAAGGACCAACTAGTGTTAGGTTTAAGGACCAGCTAGGTTTAAGGACCAGCTAGGTTTAAGGACCAGCTAGGTTTAAGGACCAGCTAGGTTTAAGGACCAGCTAGGTTTAAGGACCAGCAAGGTTTAAGGACCAACTAGGTTTAAGGACCAGCTAGGTTTAAGGACCAACTAGGTTTAAGGACCAACTAGGTTTAAGGACCAGCTAGGTTTAAGGACCAGCTAGCTTTAAGGACCAACTAGGTTTAAGGACCAACTAGGGTTAGGTAACAATGATCAAATTTCCTAATGGAAAGAACAACAAAACAAAATTTGGTGCAACCTTTGACAACACCCAACACCAGATTAGCATCGTTACAGTAACCATCTACCCTGAAACATGTCTACGACAAGTTCCCAAAAGACACTTGTCAAAATATGACAAAAGCTTGAAAGACACTTGCCCAACTGTGACAAATGCCTGCAAGACACTTGCCCAAATACACATGTAACAAATAGAAAGTTGTTTATTTTTTTTTTTTAATTTAGCTAGAATTTTTTTAAATGAGTAATTCTTGTCAAAATAAAAAAAAAACTTTGTGAGGGTTGTGTTGGCAGTGATGCCTTTACATTTTTTTAAATACTGTTTTAGCATTTTGTTTGACCAGGTGTTGTGGTGGTTATGTCACATGTAGGGTGAAGTTGAACAAACACATGTTGATTTAGCCTGTTAAGCCTTTGTTTTGTGGTGATCATTTCACAAAAGAATGAGGCATGGTCTAGGCGGTGGATTTAAAAACTTAAGCTAGTTGCTGATGTTTGATCTCCATTCAACACACCTTGTTAAGACAATGTGATAAATCAATTACTTAATCGAGATTCATTTTAAAAAATCTTAGATAAAAATTGTATTTTTTTCTTTCATTATAGACAATTTTTTACATTTTTTATAATGAAAATACAATTTTTTCTAATGTCTACTTGGTAATATATAATATAAATTTTATTCTGGTTTTACGCTTAGACTTAGAATTGTATTAATTATAAAAATGTAAAATTCAGCAAACGTCCATCTGGAAAGTGACAAACTGGAATTTGTCCGATTCTGGCAAGTGTCCATTCTGACATTTGTCACATTTGGGAAAGTGTATATTTGGGAAAGTGTCTATTTGGACATCTGTCGCACTTGGGCAAGTGTACATTTGGGAAAGTGGCCTTCAGGCAAGTGTCTTTCATGAAAATGTCGGGCTCCCTTCTGAAACAAGTTGCCATCAGAAACAAACAAGTTGCCCTTACACAACAAACATTGAAAAAATGTTGGTGGTTGCTAGCACAATAATGACATGGCTGCCAAGTTTGTTGCATACAATTTTGAAGGGGGGGGGGGTCTAGGTACTTAATGGATGGATAATGCCATCTTTTACAGAATCAGATTAAAATAAATGAACACACACACAATTTTAATTAATGAGAAACACATACAAAATAAAGTTCCAAAAGAAAAAAGTGAAAAGAAACGGTTCCAAAAATTCCTTAGTACCATGGGCTAACATGCACAGCAGTTTTACATTCAGATATTTGAAATGTCATATCCCCTCATGAAATCAAACAAATAAACATTCAAGCCAGTATAAAACCAGTGTAACTGTCATCCAAAACACAGAGAATCAGATTTCTTTATCAGATCAAGAATGGGCACATCATCAAAATACATGAAAGACTTATCAGAAAAACTTAACAAAGCATCATCAAGAAAGGATAACACCCTAAAAAACTGTCTTCAAGAGTAAAGCTAGCAAACAAATAATGGAGGAACTTGCAAGCATGCGAACATCCTACCTGTATCTCCTTCTGAACCTCCGCCTAGCAGCCAACAATGGAGAAAAATCCAAGCATTAGTGAACACAACACGAACACAACACGTGCAATACTATGAATGAAATCGCTAAGAAATAAGACAGATTGTTCACCGGCTTCAGAATGCATGGTCCGTCAAATGTATAGGTCAATGAATTGGTCCATCTAATGTATAGGTCAATGAATTGGTCCATCTAATGTATAGGCCAATGAATTGGTCCATCTAATGTATAGGTCAATGAATTGGTCCATCTAATGTATAGGTCAATGAAATGGTCAATCTAATGTATAGGTCAATGAATTGGTCCATCTAATGTATAGGTCAATGAATTGGTCCATCTAATGTATGAGTCAATGAATTGGTCCATCTAATGTATGGGTCAATGAATTGGTCCATCTAATGTATAGGTCAATGAATTGGTCCATCTAATGTATAGGTCAATGAATTGGTCCATCTAATGTATGGGTCAATGAATTGGTCCATCTAATGTATGGGTCAATGAATTGGTCCATCTAATGTATAGGTCAATGAATTGGTCCATCTAATGTATAGGTAACTGAATTGGTCCATCTAATTAATAGGTCAATAAATTGGTCCATCTAATGTATAGGTCAATGAATTGGTCCATCTAATTAATAGGTCAATGAATTGGTCCATCTAATGTGTGAGCCAATTATTTGATCCATCTACTGTAGGGGTCAATAAATTGGTCCATTAAGTATGTCAGCCAATCAATAGGGATGATTAGACATAAATTTCACAATTTTCAAGAGAGAAGCATTTAAATAAAAAATTGATAATGAAGCTTGAATAATATACTAAGCAAGTACATTTTATGATCACTGACATACTATAGGACACTATCGATATTTTTTATCTATATGGAAATGGAACAAACTAAGTTTAATATAACTATGTTAATTCAATGTTTCTAAATGAGTTGCATGAAATAAGTTAGAAAGATAAAGAATAAGTTCTCAAAGATTAAAATCACCAATTTTTTCTCCATCTCTAGTCAACACATCAAATGTGTTAGGCTGCATTATTTTAAATCTTTTTTAGATTATCATTGTTTAAACCTTTAATATTTTAAATGTTTTCTAGTTAATTTTTTATTCCTTTTTTGCAATATAAAAAAAATATACAATAGTAAATCTCTGAACTTAAAAGGACATAAACAATGTAAGATCCCTTTCCAAAGGGTCATCCATAAATGATGTGACAGGTTTTTTTTTTTGACAATTTTTTCCCTCCCCGTTGCTTCCATTACACATTGTCACAAAAAGCCAGACCCCCCCCCCCCCCCACAATGATGTAACACCTCAGCCAACAACACCATAAATTGCATTTAAAAAAATTTTAAACACTGATTTTTTTCTAAAATATTCAAATTTATTAAGATAGTTTTCTAAAACGTGAAATAACGGCTAAAATTCAGTTTCTAACATACTCTTTTAAAATGCAAAAGTGTTATGTCACCCAATCTACCCCCCCCCCCCCCCCACCACTCATTACACATCATCAAAAATTTCCTCCTGCAAGTGTGACATTCATGGACGACCCCCAACATCACAAATGGTCTATGAAGGAAGGGAAGTATTAGTTTTTACTTCGGTGTTCTTCAAGGAGTAGTAAAAAACATCATTTCTAATTTTGTAGTCTTCTAAGGGAAGTAATAGCTTCTTCCAATTGAGACTTTAATGGGGAATTTTGTCTTTCTAATTTGTAAGTGGGTGTATTAATTCTGATTGAAATGTCTCTATTGGGAGACTTGTCTGCTTACAGCTAAAGATTTCATCTATCCAACATTTTGATTTTTACAGCTAGTTTCAAAAGCTCATCAAAAAGTTATCAAGCAAATACAGATGACAAAAAAAAGAAAAGAAAATCATAAGTGAGAGAAAAGTGGGTGGGGTTCAAATAAAACACCTGCCCCTCAAAAGTCATGCAACAAGCTTGATCTCATTTTGCCCAGGTAAAGAAACAGGTGAGGTGTAACAAAAAACAGGGGGTGCCAGAGTTTTCAGTCCCACTAGAAACAATGAGTTCCTGATACCAGACAATACCTTATACATAGCATTGAGTTTTTCCTGTGGAATGACAACAGGCAACAGATGGCATGTCTTAGGTGCTTTCAAAACTTTATTTATGACAATAACACATTTGGGGTGACTGCTTGTTTTAGTTTAATGATTACAATAGATATCAATCATCCAAAAGCAAATCATATTTCTCAAGTCCTGTGCAGCCATTGGTGGTAAGAACATGACCCTTCATTGCTAGTGTATAGCATAGACACTAAGAGTTTAAATACTGTGGCGTTAATCACCTGTTTGAACATGGACCATTAGTTAAATTATTAAATTTGATGTTCAGAATAAATGCAGTTTGGTCCTTTAAAAACTATGTCAGTATATATGTAACGTGGGGGGTCAACATGAACTCCCCCACCCTACCCCCTCTGCCATTTCACAAACATCTACCTCCCCGTGTACATGGATATCTTAACAGATGACAATAGTGAACAGGCCTGTAAGTCTCACTCTGTTGTAGCATGTGGGTTTTTTGGGTTTTGATAGCAAACAAAACCACAAATTTATGTTTTGTGATGTAAAAAATAAAGAAAGCTCTATTTTACCCATATTCAAGAGAAATTGTTAGTCAAGACTGGGTTCAACAATAAACAAACAAGTTGTGTTAGTAGTGTGGTTAGTAGCGATTAGTGGTGTGGTTAGTGGTGTGGTTAGTAGTGTGGTTAGGGGTGTGGTTAGTAGCCATTAGTGGTGTGGTTAGTAGTGTGATTAGTGGTGTGGTTAGTAGTGTGGTTAGGGGTGTGGTTAGTGATGTGGTTAGTAGCCATTAGTGGTGTGGTTAGAAGTGTGGTTAGTGGTGTGGTTAGTAGTGGTTAGTGATGTGGTTGGTAGTGTGGTTGGTAGTGTGGTTAGTGGTGTGGTTAGTAGTGTGGTTAGTAGCCATTAGTGGTGTGGTTAGTAGTGTGGTTAGTGGTGTGGTTAGTAGTGTGGTTAGTGGTGTGGTTAGTGGTGTGATTAGTAGTGTGGTTAGTAGTGGTTAGTGGTGTGGTTGGTAGTGTGGTTAGTGGTGTGGTTAGTAGTGTGGTTAGTGGTGTGGTTAGTAGCATTAGTGGTGTGGTTAGTGGTGTGGTTGGTAGTGTGGTTAGTGGTGTGGTTGGTAGTGTGGTTAGTGGTGTGGTTAGTGGTGTGGTTAGTAGTGTTGTTAGTAGCGATTAGTGGTGTGGTTAGTAGTGTGGTTAGTAGTCTGGTTAGTGGTGTGGTAAGTGGTGTGGTTAGTAGTCATTAGTGGTGTGGTTACTAGTGTGGTAAGTGGTGTGGTAAGTGGTGTGGTAAGTGGTGTGGTTAGTGGTGTGGTTAGTGGTGTGGTTAGTGGTGTGTGTAACAACAAATACCTTGTTAGCATCCATGTCCTCAGACGATAAGGTTCCAGCTTCCTCTCTCAACACGTACGTCTGGATAATTCTATCAACATACAACAAACATGGATTATTCTATAAACGTATAACAAACATGACGTCTGGATTATTCTATCAACATATAACAAATATGGATTATTCTATCAACACATAACAAATACGGATTATTCTATTAACATATAACTAATATCGATTATTGTGTCCACATAAAATATTTCTGGATTATTGTATTAACGTAAAACATTCCTGAATTATTCTGTTCACGTATAAAACATTGGGATTATTCCATAACTAAAAACAGAAAACCAACTTGTTTTTCTTTTTAATTTCTTCCAGCAGCTGTTGTATGTGTTCTCCCAGGAACTCTAACTTCTCATTCTTGCGAGCGTGGGCCTTCTGTAGGCGAACAATTCTCTCAATCAGGACCTGCTTATCCACTTCTACTTGTTCTGTTATTACATGGAATTCCTGAGGAAAATCATGGGCTCTATACAACTGTCACATCATGGGTTAAATTGTGTGGAATGTTGTCTATAGAGTTGAGGCTACCATTATTACCTGGACTGGATGATGTGTGGAATGTTGTCTATAGAGTTGAGGCTACCATTATTACCTGGACTGGATGATGTGTGGAATGTTGTCTATAGAGTTGAGGCTACCATTATTACCTGGACTGGATGATGTGTGGAATGTTGACTGTTGTCTATAGAGTTGAGGCTACCATTATTACCTGGACTGGATGATGTGTGGAATGTTGACTGTTGTCTATAGAGTTGAGGCTACCATTATTACCTGGACTGGATGATGTGTGGAATGTTGTCTATAGAGATGAGGCTACCATTATTACCTGGACTGGATGATGTGTGGAATGTTGTCTATAGAGTTGAGGCTACCATTATTACCTGGACTGGATGATGTGTGGAATGTTGTCTATAGAGTTGAGGCTACCATTATTACCTGGACTGGATGATGTGTGGAATGTTGACTGTTGTCTATAGAGTTGAGGCTACCATTGGAGTTGGTGCGTGATCCCATGCTTCCTGAATCTCCTTTACCTTCAAAACTTTCTAATTTTCTCTTGGCCTGCTGTAGTTGGCGTGTTAGGTCCTGAACAAAATAAAGTTTACAATTAAATGACAACTTGTATAACTAAGATAGCCACAGGAAGCAAGTTTTATTTCAAATATCTTGATTAATCTTGCTAGTATGTAAATTAAAACACTTAGTATAAAGCAAATGTTCCACATATAAATCAGTACCTTAATATTATTGGCATGTCGACGTTTGAGGGTCTTACTGCTGTCAATCTCATCCTCCCACTTCTGCTTCAAGTCTTGACCTGCAGTACATATTTCATACACTTAAGCCATTGATAACTTATGTTAAACAGTGTGTCATTGTCCAGTCCTAATTATAAAATGCTGTGGTGGTCAGCACAAAAAAGTCAGACTGTGAAAATTGTTTTAAAAAATAGTCAATTTAATTTTGATACAATCAATCAATTACTAATTAAGAAACTTAATTTCATGTTATTTTTTAAACTAAGTTGAAAAATATTTAACCTAAACAGGCATTCTGTTTTTAAATTGTTTAAGATAAAAGTATACTAACATTCTTGGTTTCTTTCTGCAAGAGAGGCACTCAATTTTTCTATTTCCTCTTTCCTTTTTGTCTTTTCCTCTTCATATTTATCACTCTATAAAGTTTAACACAACAAGAAAAAGTCATTAGTCATGTAATAAACAACATAAAGAGAAATTTTTTATAGTTTTAAAACAAATTATTTTAGAGAACTACCATGTGTTTAATAAAGAAGATATTTAAAACAAAAATTCTAAACTTGTTTAAAAAAACATTTCTGTTGTACATGTGGTTACCTACCAGTTCTCTGACATGGCTTTCCAGCTCCACAACAACAGCATTCAGTTTATCCACTTCACTGGTCAGTAAAGTTACCTGACAAAGGTAAACACAGTTTTGTAATCAGAGCACAAGCAAAGACCATTTTTTTATTTGAATGTAATAGACAGTTATCTTCTGATCCAAAGTTAATAAGATCAGACAGGTTAAGTAAGATGGGTAAGGTCAGGCAGGTTAAGTAAGATGGGTAAGGTCAGTTAAGTTAAATCAGGCAGGTAAGGTCAGTTAAGTTAGATCAGGCAGGTTAGGTCAGTTAAGTTAGATCAGGCAGGTAAGGTCAGTTAAGTTAGATCAGGCAGGTAAGGTCAGTTAAGTTAGATCAGGCAGGTAAGGTCAGTTAAGTTAGATCAGGCAGGTAAGGTCAGTTAAGTTAGATCAGGCAGGTAAGGTCAGTTAAGTTAGATCAGGCAGGTAAGGTCAGTTAAGTTAGATCAGGCAGGTTAGGTCAGGTAAGTTAGATCAGGCAGGTAAGGTCAGTTAAGTTAGATCAGGCAGGTAAGGTCAGTTAAGTTAGATCAGGCAGGTAAGGTCAGTTAAGTTAGATCAGGCAGGTAAGGTCAGTTAAGTTAGATCAGGCAGGTAAGATCAGTTAAGTTAGATCAGGCAGGTAAGGTCAGTTAAGTTAGATCAGGCAGGTAAGGTCAGTTAAGTTAGATCAGGCAGGTTAGGTCAGGTAAGTTAGATCAGGCAGGTAAGGTCAGTTAAGTTAGATCAGGCAGGTAAGGTCAGTTAAGTTAGATCAGGCAGGTAAGGTCAGTTAAGTTAGATCAGGCAGGTAAGGTCAGTTAAGTTAGATCAGGCAGGTAAGATCAGTTAAGTTAGATCAGGCAGGTAAGGTCAGTTAAGTTAGATCAGGCAGGTAAGGTTATGCAAGAAAAATAGGTAGAGTCAGGATGGGAAATTTAGGTACAAGATCTGGCAAGGTCACATTGTATATTTTTTTGATTAACTTTTCTCACCACTATAAAGTTCTAATGTTATCTACCAAGATGTCAATACAGTATGTCATTAAATTATTGTTTTACTCTAGCCAGAGTAGTTTTGAATATGTGGCCAGAAAATGTCAGTATTATAATGCTTAATGTATTTAGAGAGTTCAAGTTTATAGTGCTGAATGTGGCTAGATTATCTCACATAAAACATAAATAAACTGTATATGATACCTTATTGCTAAAATTGGAGTTTTCAGATCGAAGAAGTGCATTAGTTCTGCTGAGTTCTGATTGCAGGGTGAGGAGCTTAGACTCCCTCTCTCTACAGGACTCCATGTCCTTGTGTAGGTCTTTGTTGGTCACCTTCAGGTCACTCATATCCTGGTCCAAGCTGATAATCATCTCCTGAGCCCTGGCGTTACAGTAGGTCATATCACAGCTTTGTCACTTTGTTACAGTAGGTCATATCACAGCTTTGTCACTTTGTTACAGTAGGTCATATCACAGCTTTGTCACAGTAGGTCATATCACAGCTTTGTCAGGTTGTTACAGTAGGTCATATCACAGCTTTGTCAGGTTGTTACAGAAGGTCATATCACAGCTTTGTCAGGTTGTTACAGTAGGTCATATCACAGCTTTGTCACATGTTTACAGTAGGTCATATCACAGCTTTGTGAGGTTGTTACAGTAGGTCGTATCACAGCTTTGTCAGGTAGTTACAGTAGGTCATATCACAACTTTGTCACTTTGTTACAGTAGGTCATATCACAGCTTTGTCACTTTGTTACAGTAGGTCATATCACAGCTTTGTCACTTTGTTACAGTAGGTCATATCACAGCTTTGTCAGGTTGTTACAGTAGGTCATATCACAGCTTTGTCAGGTAGTTACAGTAGGTCATATCACAGATTTGTCAGGTTGTTACAGTAGGTCATATCACAGCTTTGTCAGGTGGTTACAGTAGATCATATCACAGCTTTGTCAGGTGGTTACAGTAGGTCATATCACAGCTTTGTCAGTTGTTACAGTAGGTCATATCACAGCTTTGTCAGGTAGTTACAGTAGGTCATATCACAGCTTTGTCACTTTGTTACAGTAGGTCATATTACAGCTTTGTCACTTTGTTACAGTAGGTCATATCACAGCTTTGTCAGGTTGTTACAGTAGGTCATATCACAGCTTTGTCAGGTTGTTACAGTAGGTCATATCACAGCTTTGTCAGGTTGTTACAGTAGGTCATATCACAGCTTTGTCAGGTTGTTACAGTAGGTCATATCACAGCTTTGTCAGGTTGTTAGAGTAGGTCATATCACAGCTTTGTCAGTTGTTACAGTAGGTCATATCACAGCTTTGTCAGGTAGTTACAGTAGGTCATATCACAGATTTGTAAGGTTGTTACAGTAGGTCATATCACAGCTTTGTCAGTTGTTACAGTAGGTCATATCACAGCTTTGTCAGGTAGTTACAGTAGGTCATATCACAGATTTGTCAGGTTGTTACAGTAGGTCATATCACAGCTTTGTTAGGTTGTTACAGTAGGTCATATCACAGCTTTGTCACTTTGTTACAGTAGGTCATATCACAGCTTTGTTAGGTTGTTACAGTAGGTCATATCACAGCTTTGTCACTTTGTTACAGTAGGTCATATCACAGCTTTGTCAGGTTGTTACAGTAGGTCATATCACAGCTTTGTCAGGTTGTTACAGTAGGTCATATCACAGCTTTGTCAGGTTGTTACAGTAGGTCATATCACAGCTTTGTCAGGTTGTTACAGTAGGTCATATCACAGCTTTGTCACTTTGTTACAGTAGGTCATATCACAGCTTTGTCAGGTTGTTACAGTAGGTCATATCACAGCTTTGTCACTTTGTTACAGTAGGTCATATCACAGCTTTGTCACTTTGTTACAGTAGGTCATATCACAGCTTTGTCAGGTTGTTACAGTAGGTCATATCACAGCTTTGTCACTTTGTTACAGTAGGTAATATCACAGCTTTGTCAGGTTGTTACAGTAGGTCATATCACAGCTTTGTCACTTTGTTACAGTAGGTCATATCACAGCTTTGTCAGGTTGTTACAGTAGGTCATATCACAGCTTTGTCAGGTTGTTACAGTAGGTCATATCACAGCTTTGTCAGGTTGTTACAGTAGGTCATATCACAGCTTTGTCAGGTTGTTACAGAAGGTCATAACTCAGCTTTGTCAGGTTGTTACAGTAGGTCATATCACAGCTTTGTCAGGTTGTTACAGAAGGTCATATCACAGCTTTGTCACTTTGTTACAGTAGGTCATATTACAGCTTTGTCACTTTGTTACAGTAGGTCATATCACAGCTTTGTCAGTTTGTTACAGTAGGTCATATCACAACTTTGTCAGGTTGTTACAGTAGGTCATATCACAGCTTTGTCAGGTTGTTACAGTAGGTCATATCACAGCTTTGTCACTTTGTTACAGTAGGTCATATCACAGCTTTGTCAGGTTGTTACAGTAGGTCATATCACAGCTTTGTCACTTTGTTACAGTAGGTCATATCACAGCTTTGTCACTTTGTTACAGTAGGTCATATCACAGCTTTGTCAGGTTGTTACAGTAGGTCATGTCACAGCTTTGTCACTTTGTTACAGTAGGTAATATCACAGCTTTGTCAGGTTGTTACAGTAGGTCATATCACAGCTTTGTCACTTTGTTACAGTAGGTCATATCACAGCTTTGTCACTTTGTTAGAGTAGGTCATATCACAGCTTTGTCAGTTTGTTACAGTAGGTCATATCACAGCTTTGTCAGGTTGTTACAGTAGGTCATATCACAGCTTTGTCAGGTTGTTACAGTAGGTCATATCACAGCTGTCAGGTTTTTACAGAAGGTCATATCACAGCTTTGTCACTTTGTTACAGTAGGTCATATTACAGCTTTGTCACTTTGTTACAGTAGGTCATATCACAGCTTTGTCAGGTTGTTACAGTAGGTCATATCACAGCTTTGTCACTTTGTTACAGTAGGTCATATCACAGCTTTGTCAGGTTGTTACAGTAGGTCATATCACAGCTTTGTCAGTTGTTACAGTAGGTCATATCACAGCTTTGTCAACTGTTACAGTAGGTCATATCACAGCTTTGTTACTTTGTTACAGTAGGTCATATCACAGCTTTGTCAACTATTACAATAGGTCATATCACAGCTTTGTCACTTTGTTACAGTAGGTCATATCACAGCTTGATCAGGTTGTTACAGTATGTCATATCACAGCTTTGTCACTTTGTTACAGTAGGTCATATCACAGCTTTGTCAGGTTGTTACATTAGGTCATATCACAGCTTTGTCACTTTGTTATAGTAGGTCACATCACAGCTTTGTCACTTTGTTACAGTAGGTCATATCACAGCTTTGTCAGGTTTTTACAGTAGGTCACCTAGTAGCCTTTACCTTTTATAGTCTAATCTAGATGTGGCAAAATGACCTTCACTGACCTGTTGTAGTCATCATTTAATCTAGCTTTGGTCAAATGAGTAAAACTGACCTTTTGTAGTCGTCCTCTAAAGCAGACAATGTGGTGATCTGTGATCTCAAGCTGGCGTTCTCTGTTTTCTGGCGCTGCATGATCTCCTGATAGTTCTCAATCATCCTGTGATTCTGTTGTCTCTCCTCCTCTAGACAATGAACCTTCAAACAACAGATGTACACAGGAATTTTAAACCAGTGGGTGCTAGCATGTGTTAGAATAACATTAGGGTTGAACCTGATATTTGACTGAGCTAACAGTTTTATATACAATAAAATGAATTGAAACAATGCATGGAGATGCACTAGGAACACTTACCTTATCTTTTAACGTTTTAGCTTCTTCTATAATGTCTTTGTGTTGAGATTTTAATGAATCAAGTTCTTTTTTAGTCATTTGATGAATCTTTAAAATGCACAAAAACAGAATTTTTAAAGTTTTGTAAAAATATATAAAAGCGAATATGACACAAAATACTTTTAACATACACATCCACTACCTGTATCAACACACACTGTCACACCAACATCAAACATAGGTGCTTCCCTCCCATATTAATTGACTAACACACCCCATCCTGTATCAATATTCACATTACCTTCCCATATTAACACACGCATCCTCATCTTATATCAACATACACATATCCCTTTCATATCAACCCACACATCCCCCAATATCAACATACACATTACCCCCATATCAACCGACACATATAGTATAACATCCCCCACATATCAACCCACACATATAATATAACAACCTGCACATCCCCCACATATCAACCCCCACATCCCCCACATATCAACCCACACATCTCCATATAACAACCTGCACATCCCCCACATATCAACCCACACATCCCCCACATATCAACCCACACATCCCCCACATATCAACCCACACATCTCCATATAACAACCTGCACATCCCCCACATATCAACCCACACATTCCCCACATATCAACCCACACATCCCCCACATATCAACCCACACACCCCCACATATCAACCCACACATCTCCATATAACAACCTGCACATCCCCCACATATCAACCCACACATCCCCCACATATCAACCCACACATCCCCCACATATCAACCCACACATCCCCCACATATCAACCCACACATCCCCCACATATCAACCCACACATTCCCCACATATCAACCCACACATCCCCCACATATCAACCCACACATCCCCCACATATCAACCCACACATCTCCATATAACAACCTGCACATCCCCCATATATCAACCCACACATCCCCCACATATCAACCCACACATCCCCCACATATCAACCCACACATTCCCCACATATCAACCCACACACCCCCACATATCAACCCGCACATCTCCATATAACAACCTGCACATCCCCAACATATCAACCCACACATCCCCCACATATCAACCCACACATCCCCCACATATCAACCCACACATCCCCCACATATCAACCCACACATCTCCATATAACAACCTGCACATCCCCCATATATCAACCCACACATCCCCCACATATCAACCCACACATTCCCCACATATCAACCCACACATCCCCCACATATCAACCCACACATCCCCCACATATCAACCCACACATTCCCCACATATCAACCCACACACCCCCACATATCAACCCACACATCTCCATATAACAACCTGCACATCCCCAACATATCAACCCACACATCCCCCACATATCAACCCACACATCCCCCACATATCAACCCACACATTCCCCACATATCAACCCACACATCCCCCACATATCAACCCACACATCCCCCACATATCAACCCACACATTCCCCACATATCAACCCACACACCCCCACATATCAACCCACACATCTCCATATAACAACCTGCACATCCCCAACATATCAACCCACACATCCCCCACATATCAACCCACACATCCCCCACATATCAACCCACACATCCCCCACATATCAACCCACACATCTCCATATAACAACCTGCACATCCCCCACATATCAACCCACACATCTCCATATATCAACCCAAACATCCCCCACATAATCAACCACACATCAACACACCTCCTCTGTATCATTCTTCTCCTGCATTTGTGTTCTGAGTTCAGTTTCTTTTATCTTCAACTCTTTATCCAAACTGTTGGACTTGATTTCTTCGGATTCCTAATACAAATAAATGTCAAGGGGTAAGTGAATGGATAAAACTGACCTGGTATTTATAACATTAGCTTGATCTGCCCATCTTTTAACTATAGCTTGACATAAGATCTGCCCATCTTTTAACTATAGCTTGACATCACATCTGCCCATCTTTTAACTATAGCTTGACATAAGATCTGCCCATCTTTTAACTATAGCTTGACATAAGATCTGCCCATCTTTTAACTATAGCTAGACATCAGATCTGCCCATCTTTTAACTTGACATAAGATCTGCCCATCTTTTAACTATAGCTTGACATAAGATCTGCCCATCTTTTAACTATAGCTTGACATAAGATCTGCCCATCTTTTAACTATAGCTTGACATAAGATCTGCCCATCTTTTAACTATAGCTCAGATCTGCCCATCTTTTAACTATAGCTTGACATTAGATCTGCCCATCTTTTAACTATAGCTTGACATAAGATCTGCCCATCTTTTAACTATAGCTCAGATCTGCCCATCTTTTAACTATAGCTTGACATCAGATCTGCCCATCTTTTAACTATAGCTTGACATCAGATCTGCCCATCTTTTAACTATAGCTTGACATTAGATCTGCCCATCTTTTAACTTGACATAAGATCTGCCCATCTTTTAACTATAGCTTGACATAAGATCTGCCCATCTTTTAACTTGACATAAGATCTGCCCATCTTTTAACTATAGCTTGACATAAGATCTGCCCATCTTTTAACTATAGCTTGACATTAGATCTGCCCATCTTTTAACTATAGCTTGACATAAGATCTGCCCAGATAAACTGACCTGGTATCTTTTAACTATAGATTGACATTCCAGCCTGATCATCTCAGTTTCCTCCCTTGCTTCCTTGAGCTTGGCTGAAGTTTTCTCTAGGTTTCCTTTTGTTTCCTGTTGATCAAGTCAAACTTTTTAATTCAGATTCAGGTGTAGACACTACCCCACCAGATGTATGACAAACAAATCCCCACTAAAACCGACACTACCCTCCAGATATAAAAGTTTAAGCCAACAAGTATGACAAACAAATCCCCACTAAAACTAAAACTACACTCCAGAGACAAAAGTTTAAGCCAACAAGTATGACAAACAAATCCCCACTAAAACTACACTCCAGATATAAAAGTTTATGCCAACAAGTATGACAAACAAATCCCCACTAAAACTACCCTCCAGTAACAAAAGTTTAAGCCAACAAGTATGACAAACAAGTCCCCACTAAAACTGACCTTGTGCTGGTCCAGTTCCTCTTTCAACTTGTTCTGGAACCATTTAATTCTGTACTCTGAAGAACTCACAGCCTCCTTCAGTTTCTCTATTTCCTTCTGTAGGTTGCTGATTTCTAAACACTGAAACCACAACAAAACTTGGTACAGAAATTACATCAGAAAACTTATTACAGACATCAGAAAACTTATTACAGACATCAGAAAACTTATTACAGACATCACAAAACTTATTACAGACATCACAAAACTTATTACAGACATCACAAAACTTTGTACAGATAGCACAAAACTTGGTAAACACATCAAAACAGCCTTGCATGAGATAAACAGTTTATAGGAGTAGATAAAATATTTGCACTCAAATGATTTAGTAATTTTTTTTTATATTAGTGCTAACTGACCTTTGTTTCAAAGCCAACAACGAGTTTTTGTTTATCAGATTTTGCTGCCTTGAGTGCGCCTGCCATTGTGTCTTTCTCTTTGATAGCTTCTTTGAACTTGGCCTCGTTCCTCTCTAGGATGCGCCTAAGATCCATGTACTTGGCCTCAGATTCAGCAAACTTCACAACCATCATGTCTTTTTCCTTCAGACATTCTTCATACATCTTGGTCACCTGGCATGTGGGAGGGAACTTTCCATTAGTGACACAACAATTCACACATTCCATTAGTGACACAACAATTCACACATTCCATTAGAGACACAACAATTCACACATTCCATTAGTGACACAACAATTCATACATTCCATTAGAGACACAACAATTCACACATTCCATTAGTGACACAACAATTCATACATTCCATTAGAGACACAACAATTCACACATTCCATTAGTGACACAACAATTCATACATTCCATTAGAGACACAACAATTCACACATTCCATTAGTGACACAACAATTTATACATTCCATTAGTGACACAACAATTTATACATTCCATTAGTGACACAACAATTTATACATTCCATTAGTGACACAACAATTAATACATTCCATTAGTGACACAACAATTAATACATTCCATTAGTGACACAACAATTTATACATTCCATTAGTGACACAACAATTTATACATTCCATTAGTGACACAACAATTTATACATTCCATTAGTGACACAACAATTTATACATTCCATTAGTGACACAACAATTTATACATTCCATTAGTGACACAACAATTTATACATTCCATTAGTGACACAACAATTTATACATTCCATTAGTGACACAACAATTTATACATTCCATTAGTGACACAACAATTTATACATTCCATTAGTGACACAACAATTTATACATTCCATTAGTGACACAACAATTTATACATTCCATTAGTGACACAACAATTTATACATTCCATTAGTGACACAACAATTTATACATTCCATTAGTGACACAACAATTTATACATTCCATTAGTGACACAACAATTTATAAATTCCATTAGTGACACAACAATTTATACATTCCATTAGTGACACAACAATTTATACATTCCATTAGTGACACAACAATTTATACATTCCATTAGTGACACAACAATTTATACATTCCATTAGTGACACAACAATTTATACATTCCATTAGTGACACAACAATTTATACATTCCATTAGTGACACAACAATTTATACATTCCATTAGTGACACAACAATTTATACATTCCATTAGTGACACAACAATTTATACATTCCATTAGTGACACAACAATTTATACATTCCATTAGTGACAAAACAATTTATACATTCCATTAGTGACACAACAATTTATACATTCCATTAGTGACACAACAATTTATACATTCCATTAGTGACACAACAATTTATACATTCCATTAGTGACACAACAATTTATACATTCCATTAGTGACACAACAATTTATACATTCCATTAGTGACACAACAATTTATACATTCCATTAGTGACACAACAATTTATACATTCCATTAGTGACACAACAATTCACACATTCCATTAGTGACACAACAATTTATACATTCCATTAGTGACACAACAATTTATACATTCCATTAGTGACACAACAATTTATACATTCCATTAGTGACACAACAATTTATACATTCCATTAGTGACACAACAATTTATACATTCCATTAGTGACACAACAATTTATACATTCCATTAGTGACACAACAATTTATACATTCCATTAGTGACACAACAATTTATACATTCCATTAGTGACAAAACAATTTATACATTCCATTAGTGACACAACAATTTATACATTCCATTAGTGACACAACAATTTATACATTCCATTAGTGACACAACAATTTATACATTCCATTAGTGACACAACAATTTATACATTCCATTAGTGACACAACAATTTATACATTCCATTAGTGACACAACAATTTATACATTCCATTAGTGACACAACAATTTATACATTCCATTAGTGACACAACAATTCACACATTCCATTAGTGACACAACAATTTATACATTCCATTAGTGACACAACAATTTATACATTCCATTAGTGACACAACAATTTATACATTCCATTAGTGACACAACAATTTATACATTCCATTAGTGACACAACAATTTATACATTCCATTAGTGACACAACAATTTATACATTCCATTAGTGACACAACAATTTATACATTCCATTAGTGACACAACAATTTATACATTCCATTGGTGACACAATTCACACATTCCATTAGTGACACAACAATTCCCAAATTTTTTTCTTTAGTGACACAATTTACACATTTTTTTTCTTAGTGACACAACAATTCATTCCTTTTTTACTTTCTTGTATATACGAAGTATAGAGAAAGTCTTGTAATCGTGCAAAAACGGAAAAACATAATTTTGCAATCTTGTCCGTATGTCTGTGTGTCTGTCTGTGTGTCTGTCTGTCCGTGTGTAAACATGATAACTTGAGTACCGTTACAGCTAGGTTGATGAAATTTCATATATAAGTATTTAATCAAAATCGTAGATCCGTATCAACTTTTGAGCGATTTCCGATAACCGGAAGTGGTACTTTTCCTACTTTGAATTTTTCAAAAGCCTATAACTTTCAGATAGATAAATGAAATTTCATACGTAAGTAAAAGATCTAATTCTCTACCTTCTATTAAATTTTGAGTCATTTCCGTTGACTGGAAGTAGTACTTTACGCTACTTCCGATTTCTCAAAAAAACTAATGTACATTTTAAAAGTAATAATAATATTGCGCACTATTATGCGCTTTTTTATTTGGCGTTCACTTGGTGTGCAATTAATTTGTCTACAAGATTTTATTCTATTTTTAAAACTAAGTATTTAAAATGGATTAAAAATCATGTCTATAGCCAGAGTTCCCATCACCTGTTATTTTATATAAGAATATTCGAGAAAGTTTAGGGGAGATCACTCCCGGTTTATTTTCCTTAGTGAAACAATTTTAGTTGCGGTAATTACACACAACAATTAAGAATGTTTCTCTTTATCAACTACGTTACAGTATGATGGTAAAGATAACTGTAAAAAATAACCAAGAACTTTTGAATGATAGCCAATTAAAAAAAAAAAAAAATCCCCTACACATTTTAGTTATGAATTATTTTACTAAAGAAAACATTTTATTTTATATTCTTATTTTTAGTAAATTTAATGGTTATTATTGTAAAGGTTTTTAATGTTTTATTTTCTACTTTTTTGTAATTATGAAATTAAAAAATAAAAATAGTCAGACGATATTCAAGTTTTTAAAAACAATAAGTCCTATTTATTTCTTGCTTTATGTTTGTACGTTATGGTCGACACAGGATATTATTAAAAATATGTACTTTACAACCCAATCAGTAGCTTTTAATAATTATCTGACCCTTAATAGGCTGGTCGGCTCTCGGGTGTTAAACCAAATTATCAATGATCAACGTTTGACCATTGTCTGCTGGATGGTCAAGCTGTCCCTATAGTATGCCTACTTATCTTCCCTTTCTTTATTGGAGTTAGAAATCTTTTAATTATTTTTTAATAACTAATTCTATACCTAATTAATTATCTAAATTGAATCACCATACTGATTTCTTACCTGCTCAACTCTTGACTTCAACTCATTCTGTAGAGCTGAAATAGTTCTTTTTGCAGCATTATCATGGGAAGATAGCTTTTCTTTCAACAACTTCAAATCTTTCTCCTGCTGTGCTATTGTTTTTTCTAACTGAAATTAAAAACCACATATACTAGCCACTGCATACATGACCTGAGAATATACTAGTCACTGTCAACATGACCTGAGAATATACTAGTCACTGTCAACATGACCTGAGAATATACTAGTCACTGTCAACATGACCTGAGAATATACTAGTCACTGACAACATGACCTGAGAATATACTAGTCACTGTCAACATGACCTGAGAATATACTAGTCACTGTCAACATGACTTGAGAATATACTAGTCACTGTCAACATGACCTGAGAATATACTAGTCACCACCAACATGACCTGAGAATATACTAGCCACCACCAACATGACCTGAGAATATACTAGTCACTGTCAACATGACCTGAGAATATACTAGTCACCACAACATGACCTGAGAATATACTAGTCACTGTCAACATGACCTGAGAATATACTAGTCACTGTCAACATGACCTGAGAATATACTAGCCACCACCAACATGACCTGAGAATATACTAGTCACTGTCAACATGACCTGAGAATATACTAGTCACCACAACATGACCTGAGAATATACTAGTCACTGTCAACATGACCTGAGAATATACTAGTCACTGACAACATGACTTGAGAATATACTAGTCACTGACAACATGACCTGAGAATATACTAGCCACCACCAACATGACCTGAGAATATACTAGTCACTACCAACATGACCTGAGAATATACTAGTCACTGTCAACATGACCTGAGAATATACTAGTCACTGTCAACATGACCTGAGAATATACTAGTCACTGACAACATGACCTGAGAATATACTAGTCACTACCAACATGACCTGAGAATATACTAGTCACCACAACATGACCTGAGAATATACTAGTCACCACCAACATGACTTGAGAATATACTAGTCACCACAACATGACCTGAGAATATACTAGTCACTGTCAACATGACCTGAGAATATACTAGTCACTGTCAACATGACCTGAGAATATACTAGTCACTGCATACATGACCTGAGAATATACTAGTCACTGACAACATGACCTGAGAATATACTAGCCACCACCAACATGACCTGAGAATATACTAGTCACCACCAACATGACTTGAGAATATACTAGTCACTGTCAACATGACCTGAGAATATACTAGTCACCACCAACATGACTTGAGAATATACTAGTCACCACAACATGACCTGAGAATATACTAGTCACTGTCAACATGACCTGAGAATATACTAGTCACTGCATACATGACCTGAGAATATACTAGTCACCACCAACATGACCTGAGAATATACTAGCCACTGCATACATGACCTGAGAATATACTAGTCACTGTCAACATGACCTGAGAATATACTAGCCACTGTCAACATGACTTGAGAATATACTAGTCACTGTCAACATGACCTGAGAATATACTAGTCACTGTCAACATGACCTGAGAATATACTAGTCACTGTCAACATGACCTGAGAATATACTAGTCACTGCATACATGACCTGAGAATATACTAGTCACTGACAACATGACCTGAGAATATACTAGCCACCACCAACATGACCTGAGAATATACTAGTCACTGACAACATGACCTGAGAATATACTAGTCACCACCAACATGACTTGAGAATATACTAGTCACCACCAACATGACTTGAGAATATACTAGTCACTGTCAACATGACCTGAGAATATACTAGCCACCACCAACATGACCTGAGAATATACTAGTCACCACCAACATGACTTGAGAATATACTAGTCACTGTCAACATGACCTGAGAATATACTAGTCACCACCAACATGACTTGAGAATATACTAGTCACTGTCAACATGACCTGAGAATATACTAGTCACTGACAACATGACCTGAGAATATACTAGTCACTGCATACATGACCTGAGAATATACTAGTCACTGTCAACGTGACCTGAGAATATACTAGTCACTGTCAACATGACCTGAGAATATACTAGTCACTGTCAACATGACCTGAGAAATGAGAGAGTTACTGAGACCTGAGAGTTACTGAGACCTGAGAAATGAGTTACTGTACCTCTTTAATTTGTGGAAGATAGAGATCATCAGCACTTGTTTGCTTCTCTTGTTCATTATGCTGTGACACAGCTTGGGAAAGTTCCCGTCTTTGTGCATCTCTTTCACTGGTCAATCTAAAATATTTTTAGCATTCTTCAGTACATCTGTATATTATAAGATGGGCCGATGAATCCATACATTGGATCATCACTCAACCTATCTATACATTTGATCATCACTCAACCTATAAATTTGAAGGTTTGAAAATTCACCAATATAATTCAACTTACATTAATAAATCTTTTTTTTTAAACTAGTGGTAGATGATTTGATAAATGATAACACATATTAAATTACTAATTAATTATTAATTACTATAATTAAGCCATATGTATAATAAAAAAAATTTAAAAACTTATGATCATTCTTAATGGTTACAAAGCAAATTTAGAGTATTGCCTTAATTTTACATATTAAAATTAAATCACATGCTAAATTTATATTTTAAACTCAAATTTTCAACAGGAAATAAGGATTTCATTAAAAATTCTTAACTGCCTGATAGGTTAGTAAACTGTGCACAAACAATATAACTGGCTATTTCAACTCAGATGGCTTTGGTTTGTGGTAGTAAGAAATTTTTAGTATCAATTTTCAAGAATATCATAAAGAAGTTATTGAGTAAAATGTGTATGCACTTAGTCTGTGACTATTTTCTATTATCAGCTACAATCTATACATTGTCTGCTACAATCTAGTGTCCTATTGTCTGCTTCAATCTAGTGTCCTAGTTATATTGTCTGCTACAATCTAGGGTTCTATTGTCTGCTATAATCTAGTGTCCTATTGTCTGCTACAGTCTAGTGTCCTATTGTCTGCTACAATCTAGTGTCCTATTGTCTGCTACAATCTAGTGTCCTATTGTCTGCTACAATCTAGTGTCCTATTGTCTGCTACAATCTAGTGTCCTATTGTCTGCTACAATCTAGTGTCCTATTGTCTGCTACAATCTAGTGTCCTATTGATTGTCTGCTACAATCTAGTGTCCTATTGTCTGCTACAATTTAGTGTCCTATTGTCTGCTACAATCTAGTGTCCTATTGTCTGCTACAATCTAGTGTCCTATTGTCTGCTACAATCTAGTGTCCTATTGTCTGCTACAATCTAGTGTCCTATTGTCTGCTACAATCTAGTGTCCTATTGTCTGCTACAATCTAGTGTCCTATTGTCTGCTACAATCGAGGCCTAGAGTTAGACAAGTTTGACCTTACCTAGAGATCTCATCGTCCCTAATCTTGAGCTGGTCAAGGAGCTGATGGTTCAATGCCTGCAGCTGTCTGATGTCAAATGTTGACTGCAGGCCATTTGAGGGGGAGCTCACGTCTTTTCTCCTCAATGGTGAGGCTGGTTGGGGAGACTTGCTTCGTGAGCGAGAAAGCAGTTCAGCATCTAGTTCATGTAACAACTCATCCTCATCATCACTCTGTAAAGCCAGAGCCAACTCTCTCTGCAACTGATCTGGCTCAATGGCCTGAGATAAAACTCTGGCTGGAGATGATTGAGGAGAAGGGCTGGAACTGCTAGACAAAAGGTTTGAGTGTCCTGATGAAAGTAAACTACTCAAATTGCTGCTGTTACAAGCTGCAGGTCTTACAGGACCAGCTGAGGCAGGGACACGCTGTTCTGGAATACTGATGGCTTGGGTAGGGTTTGGACACTGAGGTGTGTCAGGTTGCTTGTCCCCAGGTGGAGACTCCTGCAGATGATTGAGTGGAGACTCCTGCAGATGATTGAGTGCAGGACTGTCAACAGAGTGAGCTGAAGGTTCTATTGGCAATGGTACGGTATTCATGTTTGCATTGGGTAAGAGGCCTGACTCTGCATTGGGTAAGTGGCCTGACTCTGCATTGGGTAAGAGGCCTGACTCTGTATTGGGTAAGTGGCCTGACTCTGCATTGGGTAAGAGGCCTGACTCTGCATTGGGTAAGAGGCCTGACTCTGCATTGGCTGCTTGCTGTAACTGAGGTGTGCTAGCAGAGTCTTGGCTGAGCACATCAGACACTCCCCCATTCTCACTTACTGCTGACTCAGCTCCTTCCACAGCTGAGGTGGGACATGCTGCCTCTCTGTCACATTCTGGTACTTGTGAGTCACAAAGCTCATGTAAACTATGGTCACTACTGGTGGGGGGAACGTCCAAATTGTCGCTTGCTGTTGTGGCCAGCAGAGGAAGTGATGCCTCTGTCAATGGCTTCGATTGTGCTGTCACATTTATATTTAGATTGTCTTCTTCAACTGGGGATTCAAAGACTATATCAGCAACTTCAGCCTCAGGGGCATCGTCAATGTTACTCACTACTTGAACATTTCCAGTAAAAGCAGCCTCACTAGTCAGAAAGTTGCAACTATTGGCATCAGAGAACTGTTGTGTCATCTCCCCATGGTCAACACTCAGATCACTTCCTGATGTATTGGCTTTAGACATAGGGGGCAGACATACATTATGATCTTCTGTGTTTGGGAGGACAAGTTCCTCAACTTGCCCTCCACTCTCACTGTGAGCCTCTGGGCAGATATTGCTCTCACATTCTGGAGCTGCAGCCTCTTCATCCTGCTCCCTGTAGACTCTAGCTGCAGCTTCTTCATCCCCCTCCCTGTAGACTCTAGCCTCTTCCTTGAGCTGACCACAAGCATGAGCTGCTGTAAGGTCCAGGCTACCTTCAGGCTCATGTGTGTTCACTCCAGCAACTGTTGCACTGGCTTCCACTGGCCAGTCCTGGTTGGTCTCTACTCTATGATCCTCTGCTGGCTCATCAGCATGGCCAGACATGCTGAGATCATCCTCAGGGCCGTCCTCCTCAGAGCGAGCCCGGCCCACCAGGTGTACCCTCCCAGGCAAATCTGTGTCTTCCTCTGGGTCAGGGTTCTCCTCCATCTCAGCAGCTCCACCTTCTGGCTCCAGCCAGCTCATTCTGGAACAGACACAAACATCATCTTAGTTTTGTATTCAATCTTAGCATGATTCAATCTTAACATGATTCAATCTTAACATGATTCAATCTTAACATGATTCAATCTTAACATGATTCAATCTTAACATGATTCATACTTAGCATTCAGCTTGATTCAATCTTAGCATTCAGTTTGATTTAATCTCAGAATTCAGTTTCATTACATCTTAGCATTCAGTTTGATTTAATCTCAGAATTCAGTTTATTTCAATCTTAGCATTCAGTTTGATTCAATCTCAGAATTCAATATTCAGTCATTGCATTCTATATTCAATCATTACATTCAATATTCAAAATGAAAACTGTAACAATTGTATTCCAATAATACTATTTTCCTCTTAAGTATAATTATCAGAGTTGTTTTTTCACTTAACTTTGTTGTTTATTAAAAGGACTCAACATCTTAGTTAAAATTGAGCATAATAAAAAAAAAAGGCTAATATATTGATATTATAACAAATCTAAAAGAAAAAATATGAGCATAGCAACATTGGCTAAAATATTGTGTCCCCAGTTTAAAACTAATAGCCTTTTATTTTTTAATCAATTTCCTCATGATAAAAAGATTTTACTTGCAGCAAAAAATGTGTATGTAGTGTGTAGCTGTAACAAGTTTTTATACTGGCATCCTGTTACTCTTTCATTTTCTATTACATTCTCCTAGATTTGAGCAAATGAGGACAGGAACAGGATAGCTAATGTGATACATTCTAGGATAAAGCATTGTAGAACTCAGTAAAGAAACAGCATAGCTAATGTGATACATTCTAGGATAATGTGTTGTAGACTGAGTGAAGGTAGAAACAGCATAGCTAATGTGATACATTCTAGGATAATGTGTTGTAGACTGAGTGAAGGTAGAAACAGCATAGCTAATGTGATACATTCTAGGATAATGTGTTGTAGACTCAGTGAAGGTAGAAACAGCATAGCTAATGTGATACATTCTAGGATAATGTGTTGTAGACTGAGTGAAGGTAGAAACAGCATAGCTAATGTGATACATTCTAGGATAATGTGTTGTAGACTCAGTGAAGGTAGAAACAGCATAGCTAATGTGATACATTCTAGGATAATGCGTTGTAGAACTCAAAGCCAAAGCATCTGTACAATATAATGAAATATAACAGCATAAATCAATATAAGACACAGACAGTCACAACTGTTACAGAAGTGGCAACATCTGTGCACACTATCTACACACAACAATTTGATCTGTATACCTCAGTATGCTACACAACGTGCACCTATTCAATCACAATTATTGAATCATTAAAATCATAGCACTGATGGTGGTAACTGGAGCTGAGGTTTCCAACACGCCAACACCATGGGACAATAAGCACCATATTACCAGCCTATAAACCTACTTATCCTTTTGGATCCCTGCCAAGTACAGGGTATGTGTCATTGATGACCAACTTAAAGGGTGGCAACTTAATGTGCTGTCCATTGTTTAATTGGCTTTGTCCAGTCACATACAACCCAGAAAACAGTGCTGTCCATTGTTTAACTGGCTTTGTCCAGCTACATACAACCCAGAAAAACTGTGCTGTCCATTGTTTAATTGGCTTTGTCCAGTCACATACAACCCAGAAAACTGTGCTGTCCATTGTTTAATTGGCTTTGTCCAGCTACATACAACCCAGAAAAACTGTGCTGTCCATTGTTTAATTGGCTTTGTCCAGTCACATACAACCCAGAAAACTGTGCTGTCCATTGTTTAATTGGCTTTGTCCAGTCACATACAACCCAGAAAAACTGTGCTGTCCATTGTTTAATTGGCTTTGTCCAGTCACATACAACCCAGAAAAACTGTGCTGTCCATTGTTTAATTGGCTTTGTCCAGTCACATACAACCCAGAAAAACTGTGCTGTCCATTGTTTAATTGGCTTTGTCCAGTCACATACAACCCAGAAAACGGTGCTGTCCATTGTTTAATTGGCTTTGTCCAGCCACATACAACCCAGAAAACTGTGCTGTCCATTGTTTAATTGGCTTTGTCCAGTCACATACAACCCAGAAAAACTGTGCTGTCCATTGTTTAATTGGCTTTGTCCAGTCACATACAACCCAGAAAACTGTGCTGTCCATTGTTTAATTGGCTTTGTCCAGTCACATACAACCCAGAAAAACTGTGCTGTCCATTGTTTAATTGGCTTTGTCCAGTCACATACAACCCAGAAAACTGTGCTGTCCATTGTTTAATTGGCTTTGTCCAGTCACATACAACCCAGAAAACTGTGCTGTCCATTGTTTAACTGGCTTTGTCCAGCTACATACAACCCAGAAAAACTGTGCTGTCCATTGTTTAATTGGCTTTGTCCAGTCACATACAACCCAGAAAAACTGTGCTGTCCATTGTTTACTTGGCTTTGTCCAGTCACATACAACCCAGAATAACTGTGCTGTCCATTGTTTAATTGGCTTTGTCCAGTCACATACAACCCAGAAAACTGTGCTGTCCATTGTTTAACTGGCTTTGTCCAGCTACATACAACCCAGAAAAACTGTGCTGTCCATTGTTTAATTTGCTTTGTCCAGCCACATACAACCCAGAAAACTAAAAAGGTGTAATCTATTATACATGGAGCAGGGTTTTCTAAATTCTTTGGTATCGTTCTGTTGTGGTTTAATAAAATGTTCTAAAATAGAGGTTAGGTTAATGCCTTAATGGAGGTTGGGCTATTAAGTATAAGTTGGGCTATTTAAATTTTTTCACTTGGATCCACATTCATTTGAAATTTCATCGTTTATTTAGACCAAAGTCCATATATTTTTTGAACCAAGTAATAGAATTAGTCCAAGTCTAATTGTAACTAGAGTTGGAGGTGATGCCCTGGATCATTGATGACAACATGGATTAAAAAAACATGTTTTTGTACATCCCATCATAGTGGTTGTACAAGCATTTAAAGAAATAACTTCAGACACTTTATATTTAAGAATTAATCTTATAAAATCTTGCAAATGCAGAGAAACTGAAAATATTTTTGCTTTTAATTTTTAGTTAACATTTCTGATATTGATAATCAACCCAAAATTTTAACCTGAAGTTTCACTTTAGTAAGAAGAACTTTGATTGGCTAGTATTGAAACCCTACTTTAAACACAAAACTTTGCCAGTAAATATTTTAGATACTTATCACATTTTTGTTTACGATTTCTATTAGAAAATGAAAAAAATCAAATTGTATTAGGCATTTTTTCTTTCTTGTATAGAGAGTATAGAGGAAGTATTATAATCGGGCACAAAAATTAAATGAAGTTTTCAGTTTTACACCTCCCTACTAAATGGAAATTACATACGGGAATATAAAGGATGTATTGTAATAATGCAAAAATCTAAATTGAGATTTTGATGTTAAACAACATTCCAGAGCTGTAAAAACTTAGTTTTTGCAATCCTGTCTGTCTCTAATACTGTTTCTCAAAACCTGATAATTTGAGTACTGTTAAAGTTAGATTGTTGAAATTTCAGATATGAATTATATTGTATGCACAGGTTTCTAGCAATTTTTGAATGATTTCAAGTAACAGAAAGTGGTACTCTATTTCCATGGGAACACAACAGCTTGAGTACTGCAAAATGGCGAGCTGTAAATTGCGCAAAGGGCGCGATAATGGTCGATCACATGAAATGTTTGTATCGTATATTACCATCAGCCGATACTTACGCTAGGTGGTGGTAAAATAAGAAGATATCTGTGAAAATTTTACCACACACGATTTACAGTGATTTTTTAGGCAGATTTAAAAGACGTTTGTTTTCATTGTTAAGACTTCAGATTTTCCCACATCTTTTGGGTCGACTTAGGATACCACCTTGTTTGAAAACCACCCAAAATACCGCAGATGATAGATCAACATATTTCTTTTGAGTGGAACAACGAGGCCGCCCGATTTATCGTCTTTGAACATCTTTTGTATTGTTGCAAAGAAATTTTGTATTATTACCGCTGCCTACATTATAAAAATGTAGTACTACTTACTATATGTTTTTCTCTTTGAATGTTCCTTTAAACTAATTTATTTTAGATTGTTTGTATATCAAGGTTTTGACTTTTCCGAATTTTTTGGGGGAAAAAAAGTGATGTCACCGACATTATCAGTTGCTCATGCTATGTTGAATGCTATTGGCCTAATCCTATTATTTTTTAAACCAATCTGAATTGTTTGGTTTTGGTGTTAATATTTTAGCTATTAATAGTAAGTATACAGATAATATTAAAATTTTTAAAATTACTTCTGCTTCTAGATCTAGATAGATGCTACTAGAACTAGTACTAGTCTTACTACTTAGTCCTAATTATTAACCTAGATCTAGAAATCTAGATCTAGACTAGATTACCTAACTTGCCAATATTAAAAACCGATAGGGGCCTAATAAAAAACCCAATACAAAGATGAACATCTGCCTAAGGAAAATTATTTTAAAAAACCACTGAAACTGTCAACCAATTGAAGTGTAGATCTAGATATCTAGTTCTAGATCTTACTCTAGTAGTTTTGTAAAAGTTTAGTTTAGTTTAGTTAGTACTTACTAAGTTAGTGGTGAGTGATTTTTCTACACTAGATCTAGAATCTAGATCTAGACACTATTTTCAATTTTCTAGTCAAGAGTCTAACTAATACTATGGATTATGGATGATGGAGTCTACTACTAGACTAGATCTACTCATCACTACTCACCACAACTCAGTCTAGTCTAGTTACTAACTAGATCTATAATTTGTTTATAATCTACATGTCTGGTGCCAATTGTAAATTAGCCATTGAACAAAATATAGATCTAGTGCTTTGTATAGAAGATTTGTGCATTTAATAATCCGTAGAACCTAGACAAGGCTAGATCTAGATGTAACAATTTTGGCCTAAAGCCTCGGAAGTAGTCTGCAACATGTAAATATAGAACAGATGACGGAGGTAGCCGGAAGTTAAGTAAACAAACTGGCAATCCGATTAGATTCTAGATCTAGAATCTAGATCTAAAAAAATCTAGATTATAATTAGATCTATATTTCCTACATTATTTTATGATTTTACACTGTTTAGATTTCAACTAGATCTAGATAGATCTAGATTCTAGATCAAAATCTATTCACACTCGCAATTTTACCACCAAATAAATTATTTACTTTTTTTCCCATTGAAGAGGTGCTTCATTTTTCAAATCACACCTCAAATTCATATGAAAATGAAATTAATAAATAAATAGGCCTAACGTTTTAATAACAAGCTTTTATCATATTTTATTTGGATCTAGAGTGGGCACTAAAATAGAAGAAAATAAATGATTTTTTTGTAAATATTAGATCTAATAATAAACTAGAATAAACTATTTTCAAATAACTAAAAATAAATGCGTAGATCGCTTTATTGTGTATTGACTCATTGAGTAGATCTAGATCTAGATCTACCTTTACTAGAATTTAAGAAGCGACACACGATTTTATTTTAAGTTATTTAAATAGTAGAATCTAGGTTATTATTATACGAGCCGACCCGCGGCGTATCATACACCGCTATTTAGTTGTTTTATTTTCTACTTTTCAGTAATTCATAATTTGTGAATTCGACAGTACCAATGCTGCCACTGAAAATATTTGCTTTAAAACACTACCCCCCCCCCCTTTTCCCCCAACCCCTACCCTACACCCCCCCCCCCCCTCTCCGCGAAAGCAGCCTCCTCTTAGTTACCTCCTGTAAGTTTAAAATCGTTTCAAACTAAATTATCTGACCCTAATAGCCAGAGTTTCTTCCAGGCATCTCTTCGGGGGGGCGAAGCCCCCCCCCCCCCCCCCCGAAAATTTTTTACCGCCCCCCCCCCCCCCGAACGAAATGAAATTTATATAATTTATATAGAAAATATATACTTTTAACAGTGTCCGCCCCCCCGAAGAAAGTTTACCGCCCCCCCGAAGAAAGTTTACCGCCCCCCCGGAGAAAAAAGTCTGGAAGAAACACTGCTAATAGCCGTCACTAAACCCGGCTCTACGATTTGTAAACATTTAGGCCTAGAGTGAACCACCGCTCACCAGACCATGTGGGGGTGGGGTGGGGGTGGTAGTGATAGTGATAGAGAGGAAGAGAGGGGACTGCAAGGCGCGCTTGCAGCTTGTTTTCTAACGTCTCCCAGAAGAGAATTATATATATAGATAGATACGAGCTGACCCGCGACGTAACATACGCCGCTATTTAGTTTAATTCCTATTTTTCAGTAATTCATAATTTGTGAATTCGACACTACCAAATCTGCGACTGAAAATATTTCGCTTTAATAAAACACTATCAGTAGCTCGTGAAAGACGATTTTCCTCACTCTCACATGTTATTATCTACCCTTAGTTTCAAATCGTTTAAAAACTAAATTATCTGCCCCTAATGGCGGTCACTACGTCTGTAAACAGCTCACCAGACTGGTGGGGGTGGGGGTGGTAGTGATATAGTCTGTTGAGCTGACGTCTTGGTGTCTCGCATGGTCCCAATAAAGAGAATATAGAAGATTCTACTTTTCAGGAATTCTTTTTTTTTTAAGTCAATGCTGAGATTGATAATATTTTGCTTTAAAACACTATCAGTAACTCCTTAAGGACGATTATCCTCCCCCTCCCTCTCCCCCCCCCCCCCCTCGAAAAAATTTGCGTATAATAGCGCGGTAAATAGTACTTTAAATAGGAAATTGTAATTAACTTTTTAAAATAAATTAACATTCATTAAGTCAAATTTTATGTCAGATTTGCATTGTAATCAGGCCTTGATACGCGTGCCAAGTTTCAGAAAAATTGGATGAGGGTTTCTATCCATGACCACAAACAAAAGAGCGACAAAAAGCACGACAGACAATAGCACCAGACAGAGGAAGAAAGCTTTTAAAAACCTTGTTAAAAGAACGACAGAGGAAGCAAGTTAAATAAAAGCTAGTAATATATATATATATATATATATATATATATATATATATATATATATATATATATATATATATATATATATATATATATATATAATATACGTATATAGAGCGTGTTAAAAATTAGGCGCCTGTTTTTGCTCTTTTCGCTCCCCCCTCCTATATATGGAGGGATAGATAGATGGATGGAGGGAAGGAGGGATTGGATGGATGGATGGATGGAGGGTGGAATGGATGGAGGGTGGAATGGATGGATGGATGGATGGATGATTCTCTACATGGACACCACCGCGCACGTAAGCCCATTTTCTTACCATCATCCAGCTCCTTCCTCGTTCTCCAGGCATGCCCAACAGACCATATCGCTATCACCCCACCCCCATCAATCTGCTGAGCAGTGGTTCACGCCAAGTCGATTTAGTGAGGGCAGGGGCAGATAATTTAGTTTTTAAACTTCTGTGAACTGACGTCACGGAGGGCTAATTTCACGGTGGTGGGAAGGGGGTGGGGGGTGAGGATAATCGTCCTTTATTAAGGGGGTCGTCTTGGTCGAGTCGGTAAAGCTCATGGTTGCTAAACCGAAAAGTCTCGAGTTCGAACCCTCGGGCAGATGAGGCTCGTTAGCTGAAAACAGCCACTCTTCTAGGAGATACATCCCCAGAATCAAACAAATGCTGCCTTGTAATTTGTTCTTGGTTGGACAAAGGCTATGAAAAAAAAATCCAAAAAGAAAAGTAGGCTGAAATCGGAGTTACGAATTGTGAAAACAAACTCTATGTTTATGGATATCCAAAAGAAGTGATTTTTAAATGTAATTATGGACACTCACTAGGTTGGAGCTTTGGGGTCGGTGGCAGTTGGTGGGGTGAAGTAAAGGATAACAGTGCATTTAAATCTATGACTACCGGCTGCTATACCCTAAGGAAAGGGTCACTAAGTTCAAGCACTACGTTATTGAGAAGGTTTGTGTTTATAGAGCGTCCACGTATTACATTACCGGTCATGATCGCGGTCTCACAAGAGAAGATTCGTATCTATAATTAGGAAGAAACAGCCAGCTACATCTTATTTATGAGTTTCGCGACGGCTGCTGTGAAAGTCGCTACCTTAGACGTGTGAGAAATCAGGACAAGTTTACAATAAAGCGAACTCGGCCTGATGTATCAAAAAAGTATAGACTTCAAAATTTGTTTAAAATCCATACAATATTTTAAAACCAACATCATTACTGTCTTAACTATTGTAAAGGATATCCCTACAATTAAAAAAATGTGCTTAATCACTATACAAATGTCGTTAAAGTTCACCAAAGTATCAGATACAAATTGAAAGACCAAGTTTATTTTGGAAATATCAATGACTACTAAATCACTACCCTTCATTGCCTTCAACGATTCCCCTTCCTCCATAAAAGTTGTGCGACGAGGACAATTCGTCTTAGAACGGATGTATCCTTAAGAAGACACAACACAACAACACTTTTAACTTTCTTCCCAAAAAAAATAAAAATAATAAATCACTCTGTTTAATGCCCAACTGATGTAAATCCCCACACGCAACTGAATATTAATTGTGTTATACCAAGACAAGTACATACGACAACTACAACAAGCAAGTCAGGACTAGCGTTCGTCAGGCTACTGTCTACTACAGGCATCCCGTCTGCTCACTAAAAGGACGTCTTCATCGGTCCACGTACAAAAAGGGTATCTCTTTTCGTGTTTCCCAAATTTACATCCATTTACGGGTCAGGAGTTAATTCACGTCCAACTATCTCCCGTCACCTCAGGTCAAATGCAAGGCGGCCGTACCCAGCACACAACGAAGTGTGAGACTGTTTTTGTATCGAATTACGGCCTTTCCCAATTCAGGTGGGTGATAATTCACTAACACACGGGTTCCCAACCTGGGGGTCGCGAAGGGCTTTCTGGGGGGTCGCCAATTGGTATACTAAACCTTAGTAATTTGAAACAAAACATAAATATTTAGAAGAATTTTTGAAATTCGGCTTTACTAACATCACTGGAAAGGGAATAGAGAAGAAGCAAGCGTACTGTACAAAGTTGTTCTCAGTCACGAGTTTATGAAATCGTCAAAACTAAAACGTCATTTGACACAAGTCATTCGAAACACACCAATAAAGATATGGAGTTCTTTCGTCGGCATGAAGCTAGTTGCAAACGTCAGAGACTTGATCGAACAGGAAGTTTTCACCAAGGAAACTCAGCATTAGTCTATGTTTAGGTCAAAATCGGGCTTTCAGAAAGCAGAAAAGATTTAGCTCCCTAACCACTGCCCTCACCAATCGCCATCAAGACTCCATTGCTAGTATAAGTCGTAAATTATTTAAAATCTGGAGCCTTCAAAGAACTGAGTAAAAACATTAATATAGATCACGAGGTTCTGCTCTTCTACACTACAGTGCGCTGGCTGTCAAACGAATTGTTGTGAATCGTGTTTTTTAATTGAAATCTGAAATCAAATTGTTCTTGGAAATGCAAAAGAAGCAAGACATTTTGGTATACTTAAAACGACATAGAGTGGTTGGAGAGAGTATCATACCTAGCAGATGTGTTCGAACATCAACATAAGCATAACCTGAAGCTTCAGGGAAAATGAACGAATATTATCACTTTCCATGATAATCTCGGGGCATTTTTATCAAAGCTGCAAAATCGGCGAAGAAAGTAAATCTTGGAAATATTGTAAATTTGAGAAACTCTGCAAAATGTGGTAGATGAATCTAATTGTGAGATAATTAAAATTTTGAAAGAAAAAATTTCTGGGCATCTTGAATCTATTGAAAACGAACTGCAGCGCTATTTCTCTGAGCTGAAAAAAGAAGAATCTGCATTTACGCATTACCCATTCTCTTTTTCCCTTGATGTTGCCAGCATTCCCGATGAATTACAAGATGAATTCTTTGATTTGTAGAATGATTCCGCGTAAGATGAAAAACTTCAGACACAATTTTGGTGTAGTATTAACCATTTATATCCAAACGTAAAATTGATTGACTTTTCGAGAATATAATTTTATTTTGAACACTATTTTTCGATTAAAAACAAAATTAAGATAATGATAATGACATGGGTTGGCGTTAACAAAAAAAAAAAAATACTTAAAAAAAATTAACCTCGAATGTTTAGTGAATAGTATGCAATTTTACTCATGGTATTAAAACAGTTATCAAGAGTAGTTCATATTGAAAGTCTACTAGAAAATCTTATTTAAGTGCTTATTGATTTCCACACTAATTTCGGCTTTTTAATTCTATGGGGGTTGCGGGTCACTTAATTTTTATAAAAGGGGTCGCCACTCGAAAAAGGTTGGGAACCACTGCACTAACATCAACCGTGGTCTCAGTTGTAACAATCAACAACCTTGGCATTCGACCAATTAGTTTTTCCCAATCGAATTCAGCAACAGTTATTTAAGTTGACAAACTAATTCAGATAACAACGACAGTGCTGAAGCGCGGGGCCCATTCAAGCGCGGGGCCTGGGGTGACCGCCCCGTTTGGCACCCCCTAACGCCGGCTCTGCGAATAAGGTGCGTCCACCGGTAGGGTGCGATTTGGCGCCCCGGCTATCCTACGTTAGTGTTAAGGAGCAACCTACAATATTTACACGGTGGCACACGCCATTCGATGATTAAACCGAGCCAGGGACCGTACGGTTGTGTAACCGGGGGCTCCAGAGAGCGCACCTCTACGTTCCTAACACCTGGGTGGTCGCCGACGTGTGTTCTACCGCACTATTAAGGAGAGTGATTATCGTACACTCAAGGCTTCCATACACCACACCCTGGGGCGTGAAGGGCTGTAGTGTAGGTAAACCTTTGACCCGACAAATATGATCCAAGAAATATATCTTAGGCATTGCTTACATTTAAATAACTCAGTTTTAGAAAACAAGATCACACGTCTAAGTATATAGGATTGGTAACGCATTGATGAAACCCTCTTAAAATATTTCGTCAGACTTTATTCTAGCCCCGCGGCAACGCACGGGGACGGGCACGTTAGTATAATTAGTTAGTAGGCCTAATATATTACTAAAGTTTGTAAAACGGCCAATTTGGCGGTTAGTGCTCAAATAAAGTTCAAATAGGCTTTAGCCTAAGTAGATCAAGTCCATGTTCCAACGATACGTTTTATCTTGAACGCAAAACAAAACAAAACATCAATGAGTATGGGAAATGTAGATTATTTCTTATTTAACAATCGACTTGCTAACTTCACAAAAAGGACTTGATTTGGTTAACGTTATGCGTTTAGATAGGTCTAGAATCTAATGATTAGGCCTATGTGTGACTTGTCAGGCAAACGAAATTTCTTTTTATCTGGCAACATTGTTTGCAGCATGAGTGTGCGTAGCTAGGATTTAATCTACATAAAAAAAAAGTTTGCACCTAGACTAGGCTCTAGCATCAACAGTCATTACGAGATCTAATCTAGAATCTAGATTAGAAATCTAGATCTATTCTACATTAGATCTCTAGATCTATCAAATGTAACATGAACATTCCAAACTCTTAGATTTTGATGCTCGTTAATGTTAATTAATATTAATTATTAGATCTAGATACTAACTAGTAACTAGGTGACTAGAAGTAGATCTAGATGGTAACATTTTTGATTTTAGCGTATTTTATTCGCCACTTAACATTCACCTCTGGTTGAGCGTACTTTATCATCAACACAACCAAAGCACACAAACACGTTAGAAAAACACTAGAATTAGAGCTAGATATACTTTTTTTGATGAATGTGAGTTTTAGAAAATTAGAAAAGGTAAAAAAGAAAAAAAAGCATTAGGACAGACAGTTCGAATTGAATAGCGTGAAAAAAATCCCTAGATCTTTAACACGGTCAAGGGTTCATGATGAGTACATTCATTGACTTTAATAATTATCAGCTTACGTCACAAACATAATGCATACTAAACTATGCATGCATAGTCATAGCACATGATTCAATATTCCAAATTTGGATTTTTCTAAAGTTTTGACAACAGTAAATTATCAAATATGAAAACAAAAATTCATAAATGATAAAGAAATAGATTCCTATATTAATAAGTAATAAGCCTAATGTTTTCCTAACGTTTTCGTGTTTTGGTTGTGTTTATAATAAAATACGCCCAACTGGAGGTGAACGTGAAGCGGGGAATAAAATACGCTAAAAATAAAATGGAGTTTTACCATCTAGATTTAGATCTAGATCTAGATTATTCTAGATTCAGTAGTAAGAAGTGTAGTAGAAAGTAGAAGATCTAGAATCCTAGGTCCTAGATCTTCTCTTCATTAAACTTCATTTGTAGGCCTACCTGTTTTAAAGTTTTTTTTAAATTTTATTAGGGGGATATTAGTAAATTTTAAAATTAGGGGCCTACTAAAATTAGTTTCCTATAAATTTGGGTAATCTATCGTTTTAGGTACGTAAAATCGCCCGTGACTAGTAATGTGAAAAACAGGTGACTCCTTACATTTTAATAATTATTTCACGTTTTGAGGAGGATTTATGTTTTGAAAAATACAAAAATGTTTCCTTGTTTCATTTATGTACCTGTTTCTAAACAATTGAATTAAAACTTTTCAGTAATAAATGAACACCAGCGATGTTTCCAACAGATGCAACCATGCTCATTTACTATAGCAGCCATCTTGTTAAAGTTTTATTTTTATAGACTTATAGCGCAAGATTCAGGCGGAAGTCACTCTATTTTACAAATGGCTGCTGTTTATATAGCAAATCTTGCTTGCAGACACTGCTGTTTAAAGTTAATTTCGGGCCTATATTGATATATTTAGCCATTGATTTAGGTTTATTATTCATTTATCTATAATATTTGACACAAACATATCACAATATACTTCTATTACAGCCTTGACAATGAGGTAACGTTTTCGTACATTAATAGCCGCGGGCGATTTTACGTACCCAAAACGATAGATTACCTAAATTTGTTAGGGCCAATTATATATAATTTTTATATAGCCTATTACTATTAGATCTGACTAGATCTAGTAGTTACTAATTAGCTCTCAAAATTAATCAACTAATGAGTAATACTATTACTCATTAGTTGATTAATTTTAAGAGCTAATTAGTAACTACTAGATCTAGTCAGATCTAGATCTACTACTAGAGTCTACTTGCACCAATTTTCAAATAGTTTTATAATATTTTATATAGTTTTATGTTTATGGCTAGTTTTATTTTTAAATTATTTTTAATTTTTTCGGCATCCACTCTCTGGAATACAAGTTTAATAATAAATAATTAGATCTAGACTCTAGATCTATATAAAAATTAGCTTTTATCAAGTAGAATTAGCCGAGTAATTTGGACCTAATTGTAATTAGGCCTAATTAGATCTACTTTACTCATTTTTACTTTGTCCAATTTGGTCTGGAATCTAGATTATTCTACATCTACCATTTTATTTTTATTATCATAGTTAGGCCTATAGACTTTATAGTTAGGCCCATAGACTTACTTGACTAGTAGGCCATTAGCATTAGGGCTGTCTAGATCTAGAAAAATCTAGACCTAGTATTATAGTCGTAGATCTATATGATATTCTATATTAAATCAAATCAGTTAACTTCTGGCCTGCATTAATATATTTGGATGATATTTAGAATCGACACTTTGACTCCTTGGCAGAACAAGCCCTGTTGTGGCCACAACCAACTGGTGGGCTTGTTGCATTGAGTTTAATATACTCAAAACAATAATATAGATAGGCCTAAAAAATCTTATTTGAATTGGTCAGGCCACATACCAAGCACACATAGTGTTGTCTGATCTACAGTTGATCATCATACCAGACTGATAGTCTTACCTACAGTTTATCATCATACC